ATATATGTGCGCACACTGCCATGTGAATCGGGACTAACTGCAGTCTTTGGGCAGTAGGACACACTGTGCCAATTAGCAGAAGATGAACTAACCACACTTCCCATTTGACCACTGGTACGCACACATAAAGAAAGAGAGGGAAAGAAAAGGTTGCAAAACAGGGAAATTACTTCTAATCCGGGGGCCTGTGATGAAAATACTTTTAACTTCTCCCTCGTGGGCCACAACAAGGATTTAACAACCTCTTTGACTGCTACTATATCGCACAGATTTACCTGCTGTTTCCTCTGCTGTAAAATGGCTTTTGCTTTCGTTCAGCGGTGTACGGGGCTGGTTGAAGAGCTGCACCACTGCGGGGGAGGAAGGCACACTGCGATCACAACCTCCAATATGTCAAAAGTAATTAGGCTGTTCGGCGAGTATACCCTATTATGTGCAGAGAGGTGTGTGCTGTTAATTAGACTGATGAGGAGATTCTCTAATAAGCCCAGCATAGACCATCAAACACATGTCTCGTTTTGTTCTGATTAGACTTCTTTTCTCATTGAAACTGGGAATTTGCAAAGCATGTTTGCTAATGCACTGCAGTTTATTAAGTGGTTTTGTGCAAATATATGAATGATTAGTGAAGTATTGATCGGTCTGTTGAAAGAAGTTGAATAGGCAAATATTGCGGTATTTGATAGTTAATAGAGGCCATCACACCGTAAAAGGCCACATAATTATAGCTTCCTTGCTGTTCCTTCTCAGAGTTAACAGGATGTTAAATATGTTTTGGTTTTTCACCTGTTGACTGACAAAACGAGTCATCATGGGATTTAATTTGAATGTTGCACCAGTCTAAAATGATTCGCTCTATATTTACATGCACGCTTATCTTCAAGCACTGCTTTGTAATCATTTTGCAGTGAGCAAGACGAAATGGCATAAAATGATGAATCGCGGGGACCCACAGGTGTTTCTGGGTGCAAAAGTACAATCAATTTTTCAATAAATGCATTTGCCAATGAAGTCTGTGGGTAGAATGCTAACATTTCCTCTGAGTGTGCCACTAAAACCTTTCTTTAAAGCAGGTTGGTGGTAGTGTGGCGCCAATGCAGTGCCACCGTATTCAATTCTTAAAGCAAAGCCTTGAATAAGGTCCCTTGTTGTAAGACTTTGCTGGAAGGTAAGGCTGCATGAGCCGTTCCAACATCTCTTCTGTCATTATTGTAGATTTGTCTCATTGTGTCTTTTTTTTTCTTCTTCTTTTCAGTTTTTTCCCTAAACTTCAAAGTTTCTTGCGGGTAAAAATATGCATGGTAGAAATAAACCGCTGTAGATCACTCTTTGAACATCTTTGTCGACAGCGTGCCACTAAACGCACCGAAGCTACAAATTAGACAGTGACACTTGTCGTCGTTTAAATGAGCTTTGGTCCAAGAATTTGATAGTCGGCTACATTTTTCGCGTGACAAGCGTTTCATTTCCCAAAACGACCTTCTCTCCCAAGGGAGAGAGCTGAAAAAAGGGGGTTCTGCTTTAATTAGGCTAGCTCGCTCGCAAAAAATAAAAAACAAAGAAGAAAAAGAGTAGAGTAGGGGAGGGATGAAAGATGGAGAGGTAGAATGCAGGAGAGGATGAAGGTGCGGAAAGTGTGAGGAGGAGGAGGAGAGCAGATAATGAGAGGCAGGGTGACAGTATGAAAGAGTGCAAGAGGAAGAGAGCGTGTCAAGAATCAAGGGGGGGTTGTTTGCCTGCGGCCGCCTCATGGTGTGATGTCGCTGAATCTTCTCACCGTGTTTCATTACAAGGGGCTCGGTGTTGGGGTCGGTGTTGTCAGCGTG